GAGAAGGAGTAATTCTGCTGCCGGGTGCGGGGGGAAACGGCCCTTTCCCCCGGAGAAGGAATAATTCTGCTGCCGGGTGCGGGGGGAAACGGCCCTTTCCCCCGGAGAAGGAATAATTCTGCTCTCGGGTGCGGAAGCGCTCGCTCTTAGGACGTGCTTGTCGTGGAGCTCTAAGGTCGCAGCCTCAAAGATTCGCGACTAAAGCTCAGGCACCACCGAGCTGATCCCCTTGTGAGCTCACAGGCCTGGGGAACCCCCCCTCTTTTCTTCCTGTAGAGACCCGTAACCCCACCTGTGCAGGGTAAGAACACTCTTGCCGAGGCTTTGAAACAGTAAATGTGAAATTCTCCACGTTTGTAAGTTTTCTGACAGTGACCTGAGAGAGGGCAGGACCTTGGGGGAAGAGGTTTGAAATGAAAAAATGGCAAAGCCTCCCTTTGTGGAGGAGAGTTGTGCCACATATGATCTTGTCGTTACCCGCGAGGGTCAAAAAACCAACAGAGCAAGCGCAGGGCAGAGCCTGGCCCTGCAAAGCGTGTCAGGCTCTTCGGGAAGGGAATTCTCCGAGTTTCGAGGCGGCTCGAGCCAGTTCTTAAATCGTGAACGACTTTGGAGATGCGGGATGCGCTCGCCTTCGCCTCCCCGGTGCAAAACCCTGGAGCGCTCCGGGCTCTTCCCGCTGCCCAGGCCCTGGTTGGAACTGAAGTTCGTGCCGTTCCGCAAACACCCGTCGGGAAGCGGCCGCGTTCGATCCCGTGGTCAAACGCCACGAGCTGGTTGGCCAGCAGCAGGTACCTCCGTGTGGCTGCTGGTTACGTTCGAGCCAGGAAAGATGTAAGGACGGTAATTGGCAGCAACTAATTGATCGTAAACATCGTTGGTAGCCTGAGCGGAAATGGTTAGAACGGGCTGTAGAAATTCAAATTACTCCAACGGAAACACGCAGCGGAGGGGCACGTGCGCAGGGGCACGGAGAAACCACGAGTTTTTGGTAATCGTTTGGCTGCTTCCGGGCAGCCGGGCTGGGCTGGGCTCTGGGGAGTGTAAATAATGTATCATAATTTAAAAAAAATTAAGATCATTTAACTACGTACAGGACTCAACTACTGAATTTTAGAGCCCTGTTGGAAAAAATAGTCCCTTCGTCCTGATGGAAGCAGAATAATGGAACGAATTGTCCGTGGTTTCCTCTCCGGCCGCCGCGTAACGCTGCAGCTGCCGGGAGGGCTCTTGGTGCGAACAGGCAGCGCTTTGTCCGCTGGCGACGCTTGGCTGCCCCTTCCTAAGAAATCGGTTTGGAAAGCTGAATTTTCCCCCTCATAGCGAGCTGCTCCTCAAAACTCCCTTCCAGGCAGCGTCTCTTTAGCAGCAGAAGTCACGCTGAAGCCGAGGCTCTCGCTTTCTCAGCCTCGTACGGCAGCGCGGGCTCCGTTTGCGCCGGGTCGAGCCCGAGGTCGGAGCAGGTTTTCTTTGCCTTCGACGGTCTGCGAGTGGCTCCCAGCCACGACCCAGAGCCCACGGTCCCCCTCGGAAACGGGTGTAGCTCCGGTTCAGTCCCAGTTTTTGCACTAAGCGATTGGCGTTGCTGAAGTCCGGCAACCCTCACGACTTTTCCTCCGGCACCGCCCCGAACGTCGGAATAGGACGCACTAACGCTGACGACACGGTTCCCTTTTCCCCTTCGGTGTGAAAAGCATGATTAGCTTAGATGATCTCCTTTAAGATTCCTTTAGTCGAAAAGGAAAGATGAACTTCTCGTCAAGGAAACATGCTCAGGGTAAATAGACGTAGGCGAGCGGGCAGATAGGAGTAGCTCCAACACTCTTCTGGAATAATAGGAAACCGAAGATGTGCAGATATATATTTTTTAAAACGTAAAATAGACAGTAAGTGACAGCGGACTCACTGTAAAATCTCCCAGGTGTGGTTATTCTTTACCTTGTGTCTTCTATTGTAAAATTAACTTGGACAGTTACAACTTTGTGTGGAGAAAAAAAAAAAAAAAAGGCAAAAAACCTAACTCGCCCTGTGTGGAACTGCATAACGCTGTACGCTAACCTCCGGTATGTAACGCTATCTTGTATGTTGGATTTGTTCATGCACATGGAGCGTGCAAATAAAAATTAAATCACTTTAGCTGCCGACTGTGCCGTGTTTGACCGTGGGCAACGCGCGCGTGGCTGCACCGAATGCTGCGAGACTTTGCGTCTAAAAAACAGGCGTTTCTGCTGTGGCAATTCACAGGAAAAGCACGCGCGAAATAAATCTCCAAGAAATGAAAGAACATAAAATTCTGGCAAATGAAACGCGACGCTTAAGCATTAGCACGTACCAAAACTCACCCAGCACCCTAATTTGGTGTGATTTGGCATTAGTGAAGTTGAATCCAAGTGAAAAAAGAGGATATTAGACAGGCAGGAAAGCAGCAATTTGACTCTAACGTCTGTAGTTTAGAGGCATTCCAGGACTCCTGGCCAAAATTGAAATCTCCGGGAGCCATTC